TAAGAAAGTCAAATTTAATTTTTATGAGCGTTTGAAATTCAAATTTTTACAACATTGGATATTCACTCGATTTCTATCATGTGGCGATTTCCTTATTTTGTTGTAATTCAAAAAGGAATAACTGTAGATACTTGAAAATTTCACTGAATGTTGATATTAACATTTCCTATACACCATACAACTTTGAAAATAATTTGACTCTTTTTGAGCTGTTTACGGACATTTTCAGTTTTAAATTTTTATAGTTTAATTTAAGAATACATAGGTACATTGTAAAATGTTTAAACAGTTTTGACAAATTGCGCTACCTACCTATTTTATATGTTGTAAACTATTTATCAGTTAGAAATTCATAAAGGTTTTTCTTTTCATAACTGAGATTAAAAATTTTAAATAGATGAAGTTACATAAGTTTTTCCACCTGTAACAAAAAAAAGTACCAAATATTGATATTCGAATTTTCCATACATGGTAAAATTTTCAAACTATTTCGACTCTTTTTGAGCTATTTATAGTCAAGAGAAAATTATTTTGTAAATCATTTATCAGTTTAAAATTCATAAAGTTCCTTGCCCCAACCACTTTTTTTTATAAATTTGTAGGTAAAAATGTAACTTCCCCTGAACTGGGTCTATGGAGTTGGCCTCCGTCGGGAGAATGCATTAGATATTAGAATAGTAGAATGTCTATCACAGATATAAACAACTTTAACAACTATAAATTATAATTTATAGTATATATTTGTGATGTCTATAAATTTGTGGACTAATTTGTTTGGTAAATTTAGTATGCGATAAATAACTGAAATAGAAAACAAGAATACATTGCAGACCACAATGATTTCTGTAAAAGAACACACGATTTATCAATAGACCGTTTATGTGCTGACTACTGCTGAGTATAGAAGTTCTATGGATTTATCATATTAAAAAATATATTTTATATCATCTATGGCAATCGTCAATTGTCGACATTCGTCTGCGACGATTAACAATTCTAATAATTTAAGTGAAAAAAAAAATAATAAGCCATCAATATAGCCATATAGTTCGTTAAAAGTGATATAGTAGTATACTTTAGAAGTTTCAGGTACCCACGAATAATATACAATCACAACAAAATAACTAAAATAGTTATTCTACGTTTTTTAATATGTAATTTCGTCCAAATTTGAATTTAAAATGTCTGTAAAAAATAACTGTGTTCATACATTTTTTAGATTTTTTGGTTACAGTATGAACAATTTATGAGAACCTTTGTTTTAAATTTGCAATCCTTAGTTATAAAAACTGAACATTTTATAATTTATTAATTACAGTGATTGATCATTTTCGAGATTTTAATAAATTTTGTCAAAATTCGATCTTTAAATGCTTATAAAAAAAATTGTGCATATGTATTTTTAATATTTTAGATTCTGAGTGAAACGATGAATGTATTGATTTTACAATGATGTGTGTTTATTTTTTTTTTTGTGTGTCTGTGTGACTGTGTACACGATAAGTAGTCGAAACTCGAAATAATGCTTCGATTTTCGACTTCAGTATCTTGTTCGATTGGAAAGTGAATATCGTTGGTGAATTGGGGAGGTCAAAATTTAAAATTCCCAGTACTTTTCAAAAGCGCCAAGAAAAACAAAAGAAAAATGAAGGAAAAACGGGAATTTTTACGCAAAATCGATTTTTCAGAAAATTGAATTTGGTTTTTGGTGTAACTTTAAAACAAATGACCGTAGATACATGACATTTTCACTGGTTGTTTATATTTGCATTTTCTATACACGATAACATTTTCAAAATATTTTGATTTATTTTGTACTGTTTAGGGACATTTTCATTTTTCATTTTTTTTTAGTTTTTTTTCTAGAAATATCAATAAAATTTTATTTGTTGGTTAAAAAAACTTGAAAATTCAATAGAAGGCTCCTAGTGTATTGTTTCAAAGGCAGATGAAAAATCTAACACCCCCTTCGCCCCCTCCTAAAAACCGCCACTGTCTAGAGGAAAAATATTGAGGAGTGGTGTTGACCAGCTGCCCTCTGTAAGGATCTAAATAATAATAATAATTATTATTATTAATGTTATCACTATTATTATACAACGTGACAAACTATATGCACACAGAATCATTACCACTCCCTCAACACCCAAGTAAATACAACTACACCAGTCACCAACCATAGGCACTCAGGTAAACGTTAATAACCAACGTATTCGCAAACCACCTACTCGGTTAAAAGATTATGTATCATTATTTTTTTAACCTATAAGTATTATACTCAATAAAAAAAAAAAAATAAGCATAAATCACCATCAATTATATTTCAATGTAGGTACCTAATATTATAATGCTCCAATTAGAGCCATTTACCACACACAATAATTTATAAAAAAAAAACAAAAATAATTAAATTTTACTTCTATATCAATTTGTATTATTTAATCATTATTCATTTATTTGTAATTAATTATTATTATGTTGTTTTTGTTACTTAGGGGGCCTGCAGCAGGTTTTGTCAAAAGACGAAACTAATGAAGATTTGACCAATCTAAACATTAATCTTGTTTGTTATAATGTTTTTCAATATATTTAAATTCCGTATCATAAAATAAACCTTAAGGGGATTGGAAGCGGCGATTTTCTATCTTTGTCTAACGCACGTGCAACATAGGATTATAGACGTGTTCTATTTCCAACGTACCGATTAATCTAGTGAAGCGATAAGAATTCTGAAAACAGATTTGAATTTGTCGTCAAGTCTACTTGAGATCGACTTTCTCACATTTTTGATATTTTGATTAAAACTTCTCCAAAAATTTAAATATGGCAATTTTTTAATTACTCTTTTTAATATATCATTTTTAAGATTTTTGGGGGATAATATCAAAAATGTGGGAAAGTCGATCTTAAGTAGACTTGACGAAAAATTCAAATCTGTTTTCAGAATTCTTATCGCTTCACTAGATTAATCGGTACGTTGGAAATAGAACACGTCTATAATCCTATGTTGCACGTGTGTTAGACAAAGACAGAAAATCGCCGCTTCCAATCCCCTTAAGGTGACTGGAGGGGGCTAAAGTCAATAAAAAAAAAGTTGCTTTTGGACCAATAAGCTAGCTGCTAGACAAAACTGGAAGAATTTGGTTTGACAGTTTTAATTTTGAAAACGGATTATGATTGATCAACAAGTTTACTAGGGAATGATCGAGGAGATTTTGAATATTTTTTTTTCAGCTGTGATATCCAAGAATAAAAATATGATAATTTTGTATTTATATTATTCATTATGACACTAACACTAATTGAAATATTCAAAATCGCATCAACCATTCCCTAGTAAACTTGTTGATCAATCATAATCCGTTTTTAAAATTAAAAACTGTCAAACCAAATTCTTCCATTTTTGTCTACCTTATTGGTCTAGAAGTCACTTTTTTTCATCTGCTGTAGTTTAGTTTAATCAATTTATGTTTATTGTGCCGAATGTAAGGTTCTAAATTATAATTAATGTTATCACTATTATTATACAATATGACGGACTAGATGCACCCAATCCATTATAGTTAGTTCCCAACACGGACGAGAGGAACAACTCCGTAATAAATAATATATCACACGTTATTGATGTGATTATTAATTTACCCCTCACATAATATTACATACCCAATTATAATAGCAACCCGTAAAGGCGTAAAAAAGGGAAGACTTGGGCCCTCCTATAGGCTATAAATAATCAATATAATAATTTTTAAAAAAATTAATACCTCATTGCTATAAATGGCGTAACATTCAGGTGAACTTTTTTTTTTTGATAAAGGTAGAAAACCTTGTTATGGAAATCTTCTATTAAAATTTCTATTGTTATCTATGAAAATAAAAACTTACTAAATACCTACATTCCTATAAGTATAGTGTACACGAAATAAAAAAATATCACCAATCACTCATACCTAAGCAAAAAAAACCTATCCCCGAAATGTATCTTTCATGAAAGAGTATTCTTACAAAACCAGACAATCTGTCTCCATCAGAAAAAAAACTCTTAATAAATATTTTTATAGGTATAACTACATAATAACTATTTAACTAATTACTTTGAAATAAAACAACTCATTTTATAACTATCAACAATGTAATTTGTATTAGGAATGTAAGAAACTATTAATAAATTATTAAAAAATGACAAAAACAAAAATATTTTAAATTTTTCAAAGATAATAGGAAATGAAAATTGTCCACTCATTACTTTGTTCTTTGAATAATGTTAAGTTATTTATAAAAATAAAACCAGTTTGATCTCATTTTAGTAGGTACCACATCAAATTTTAAATTTCTACTTTTTACAATAACAGTGTTTATAATTACAGAATTTTGGCACCATTCTACATTTCATTACTAGCTGGATGAGCAGATCAACTACTCAAAATGGAATTATTTATTTTAAAAGCATTACATAAAATATAATTCCATAAATAATTTCATGCTTAAATTTTGTAAACTGTTTTTAAAAACAAAATTGTTTCGTTGTTAATGTTGTACACATTATGCCTATTACCTTGCACTTATGAATATTCCTTTAATAAAATAATATTTATTTCATTGAACTATTGAAGTTTATTTTATAATTATTAATATATGATATTATTTGAACATTTCCTAATTTGTTATTCACTATGTAGGACCTATTTGTATTTTTTTCAAGTTATCAAATTTTTTTTTTTGTGTTCTGTGTGTTTGTCAACAAGGTCAAAGAAATAAATATTAATGAGCAATATTATACAACGTTGATAGTGTTCATTTTTATTTTTGACACAAGACAAAAATGTGTTGAACAATAAAAATAACTTAAAAATATGATAATATTTATATATAGAAATATATGTAAAAAAAAAAAATAATGTTCATTATATTATGACCAAGATGCATATTCCACTAGTCAACAAAGACAGGCGTGAAAATAAAACTAAACATTATCAAAGTTCAATTGGTGGATTTTTAATTCATTTGGTATTGGTGGGTGGTTCAATGTCTTCTATATCAAAATCCTTGACCCATTCATCTGAACAAAAAACAAAACACCAATAAGTTATTTTAATGCAACTGAAAACTTCTTTGCATTATAAAGCCTTATTTAGTATTTTAGTCAGTCATTTATTAATTTATTCTTAGGAACAATTGTGATTTTGCAAATGATTTAACTAAATAAATGTGTGACATTTTGATAGCTGTCTACCTTCGTAACTTAGTAACACTCGTCATATTATTTAACAATTACCTTTGTCTAAACTTGAAGTGGTAACCGAAGAAGCATTAGATGGAATATCTTCTTGTTTTGATTTTGAATCCTTCTTTATGTCTGCAAAAATTATTAAGAAAATATTACTATATTTGTTACATAACTCATAATAAATATTCTATTAACAATATACCTTCTATAGGACTGCTGGACTTTGATGATACTCTTCGTTCCTGATCATATGACGACAATATCTCCTCTTGTTCTTTTTCAGACAGCTCTATATCAGACAACGGAGTTAACTCTGTAAATTGTAATTGAACACTATGTAAACCAAATTTCACTGTGATATGATTGGATTACCTTTATTGAAATCTATTCTTTCGGCTTCTCTATTTTCCTTTTCTGATCGCCTTTGCTGTTTGGCATCTTCGTCTTCCAACAATGCCTTTCGAAACAGAAATCGATACCAAAAGTCAGCATGAGAAACAGAATCTGGCACGAGTTTCTGATAGTTGTCACGTAATGGAGTGCACTCATTTAAGATCTTTGTGAGTTTATCATTAGATAGCAAACTACTATCACCGCTTTTCACCCAATCCAACCAAGCTTTATATCTTTTATCAAGTTGGTCATCAATTTCCATTACAAATGTATTCGGATCATTAGCCAGAGTATATATTTGCACCTAGTAATTTTCAAAATAGGATGTTATGGATGACATAATATTGAAATAAAAACTAATCAAATTAATTACTTGTAGCCTAGACAGTGTAACTGTGTCTGAGCCAACAATCATTATTGCTTCATCTTCATCATCTGGCAAAGGGTTTAATGCACTTGACATTTGGTCTAGAAATGAACTTACTGACTTCTTCATAGTGTTAGCAGTAGATTCAGGATTTTCCAACTATAACATATAAAAATAATAATAAATACTTATGATTTATATCATTATAATATAGGTATACATATACAATAAATTTGCATACTTGTAATGTATCTTTAACGACATTGGTAGTATTTAAGACAATATTGCTGGTTTCGGTGGTTACTATTGTTGTTAGTTCACCGAGGTCACGTTTAACTGATTCCAACACTTCAGCAGACTAAAATAGATGGTTATTTTTTTAAATAAAAATATATTTAATTGGAATCATTAAATAGTGAGATAAAAATAAAAAGTACTTTAGACTTTGCTGCAGAGTACAATGAATCCCACCATCCACCACCTTCATTTCCTTTTGAACCTGAATTTACTACGGCTTCTTCAATGACGTTTTCAACATCGTCGGGTTGTCTGTAATCAATAGTAGCAACAGTTAAAATATATTTCTATATAATATGATGCGAATAGGTATAGGTAGTAGGTATTAGACATAGTTAAGTAACAAAAAGATTTAAACTTAGTCCATTAAAAATAGTTAGAAAGAAAACATAAAATAGCAAATTACAAAATTCAATAAAAATTAAAAGATTTCCTTTCAAAATAATGGTAGAAATATCAGTCAGAAAAATAAGTTTAAATGTATTCATTATTCAATGGCCAGTTATTATTAGCCTAAAGTTTTAGGGTGGTATTTACACAATTCTTTCATAAATAATTAGGTATCATATATTGAATTTGATCCCACAGGAATGACCTTCCTTCTATACATTTTCAACGTCTACTTTCACATTTGTACTATTATAATGTAGTATAGTTGGATGGCCCCCCAGTGAATAATATAGAATCCTTAGCAAATTAATGCACTTAGTTCTTCACGGCAATGGTTTAACCTTGGTATCAGAGATCTTATATTGTTGTCTGCTGACAATGCGTAACAGAGACTAAACGTTAATACAACACAAGACCACTATCACCGCTGGTTACTCACTTGTCGGCCATGGCGCAGTTAGCTCCGCTGCCGTGCGTGTGTACTGCAAAGGGTACCGTCTCTCCAACTATTTGGCACCTAGAGAGGTGGGTTGTGAGTGTATGTTCGAGCTTAGGCTAGATCAACCGACAGCCATACGGCATCGTCCGGTGAAATGCGCTACAAGCGCGGGACAACTGCAGAGTTGAGTCAAGCTGGGTGGCGCAAGATCGTAGGCCGCGGTGGAGGCGGTTAGACTTGGGAAATATTTTTAAGCGCCTGTTCAGTAAGACCAGTAAGTCGATAGGCGACCGTGGTCAATCGTATCGGCAATGCAATCAGTAATGATGTGTCCAGAGGCCCAGACGTAGTCGGATGGAGATTGGAAAGGCGAGAGCAGACGTCTGGTTATAGAATATAATAATTAATAATAGACTATGTTATAAAATATAGACTATAGTTACTGCAACTATTACAGTCGCCCAGTCTCCCGTACACTATCAGACAATCTACGCAGAATAAAATATGTTATCATTTAATCTAGACAAGCTCATTGGGCGATAACGTTATTGTTACCACAATATCGGTAACCGTCACACGTTTTCGCTACTGACCCTAGGTTACCAACGTCAAATGGTATAATATTATATATTTTTCCGTTTTCGTAACAAATTTTGTATTAGTGTAGTACAATATTGAATATAACAATAATATTATGACATAATTGTGTATTTATATCCCATTCACGGAACTACGGAAGCATAGAGTGAGACTGTGATGGTTGAGACTGGAGAGTTGAGATTACCTCGAAAAAGTTTAACAGACTACAGACCCTCGGGGATTGTTCGCTAAATCCGCACTGTCGTCGTCGTCCACCACGTGCCACGTCGGGAGGACGTCGTTCACATCGATTTCAAATATCCGTCGTGTGTGCGTTTTGAATTCTTCGTCGCTGCCATGACTAACGAAGCGCGGAACAACCTGATCCTGTCCATGAACGACCCGTCGAACATACTCTACTCGGACGAATTTGTGGTGATCGTTGCCGACCAGTTCCCTAAGTCCGTACATCACTATCTGGTTATGCCCAAGGAAGACTTGTTCGATGTTCGCTCTCTCAAGGAACGCCATATACCCAAGCTCATCTATATGGAGCTCAAAGGCCTCGAGTACGTGATGCGTACGACTGGACTTATCGCACAAGATTTACTGTGAGTGTCTGACGTCTGTCATACCTATACGATTATTATACCAAAAAACGTTTGTTTTTATGTAATGTTCCAAATCAAAGTTCAAATTACAATTATCTATAGTAATTTTGTATATATTTATTCGTCACTATATTTGAAAAACCATCCAAAATGAATTCCTATTATAACGAAACTAAATTTTTTTTTTAATTACCTCTGCTAATTACCTTTCAATTTATGATGAATAATTTATAGTTTTAAACTTTTTATATTTATCTATACATTTTGATATATACCATATTATCATTACACTAAAACTAAATAGTAAATTACTAAATTATAGCAAAAACCAAAAATATGATCTTCATTAAGGAACTTGAAAATTAAATATATATATTAAAATATAATATACACTATAGTATATAGGTATGTAAGCTTCCTTCTATTTTTTATGAAATTATATGATTTTTTATGTAACTTTAATTTATTTTTCATTACAATTTTAACATAATTATACTTCAACTTTGATGTATTTTAATTCATTTTTTTGGGGACTTTTTTTAAAGATTTAAATTTGTTTGTTGACATTTACTGACATTGAATAATGAACCTTAAGTATCAGCCCAGAATATAGACCTGCAAGGGCTGTACATTTCTGGCCCCGTCCATGTCTGGTCCATACATTTTATCCTCGAGTCCGGTCCAAAAAATATTGTGATAAAAAGCCCTGGGCCGGTCCGGAATAAAATTCCAAGACTTAAAAAAGCCCGGTCCAACCCTTTATTTTATTTCAAAGGCCCGGTCCAAAGTCACTACAGGTATGGCTTTTTAAGGACTGGGTAGGGCCAGCCCGGCCTTTGCAGGTCTTTAGCCCAGAGCATAAGTCTTAAATAGTCTTAAACAGTCACTCTAAAGAAGATAACAATCTTTTATTGAAAGTATACGTTGAAATATTTTCATGTCATCAGAATTCCAAAAGCTAGTTGTGTAGTACCAGGTTAGTGGTTACTACATAAATTTTGCTAAATGTGAATGAAAAATCAATTGACTATCAAATGTGATACCCAAGGGAATAAAGAACCTTTTCATCGTCTGGTAACAACTGAGTATAAATAATCAAAATAATCATAAATTGAGGTCGGTAGAATGACACTGAATGACAATTTGAGAAACAAAGTTATATTCACAATCATAGGCATGATTAACCAAAAAATATTATTTTTAATGTTAACAAATAATATGAATTTAAAAGTTTTTTAATATTTTATGTGTTACTGTGTAAGTATGTGTTTGAATCTTTTCTGGGAGGAAATATCCTATAATATAATATATTATGTCAATATATATGTACATTTCAATACACTAAAGATAGTAGACTTAAATTGGATTTCAGCTTATTATATGTTATTCCTAAGGTTGTCTATGATGCTGATTTTATTTTATTGTTACAGAGTTGGATACCACGCTTTTACATCAATGAACCGATTACACTTGCATGTGTTGAGTAAAGACTTTTGTGGACCACACATGAGACAGCCTCACCAGTGGAATTCATTTAATACAGAATTCTTCATACCTACTCACAGTAAATATACACAAGACATTGGCAATTTCATGTTTAGTCCTGTACCCAAATATATATTATAATAGTTTATACTTGTACCTGTGGTATAACTTGTATTGTTTTAGATATTTTATTGTTTCAATCATTTTAACTCTTTGAATTGTTTTTATTTCCAATCAGATACATTTAAAAAAGGAAAAAAAATATACAACATTTATAATAATTTTACTATTTTAATAAGGATTGATAGATTGCTATAAATAAACACGATACTTTCAACTTTTACAAACTAGAAAACCTATATAAGATTAGGATCTCTATCTCAAACTGTCAGCCTTATCTTGCTTTGTGTACTATAATTTTTGTTAAATTCTAGTCTTGACTGGACACCATTAGTGTTAAACAAAAATATCATTATTATTCGTTTTTTATATCATAATTTATTATTAATTTCTTCGGTAACATTTAAATATTAAAAAAATAATAAGTTTGGAAGTCAATTTATTATTATTTGATACAAAATATTGTAAAAATTAGAGATTGAATGACTGAATGTATAAAAAAAATAATAAATGTGCCAACAACAGTTGATTCCAATGAAAAGATTATTTTATCAGAATTTAAATATAATAATGATGAAGATACTTTTATATTATTTAACATAAAAATTAAGGGTAAATTGGAAAGATATCAGGTATTTCACAAAAATTTGAAAACTATTTTGAGTTGGAAATTCATGAAACTTTTTTCTTTTTAAATCTAAGATTTGAAAATGTAAAATAGGGTTATTCATAAGTTTGTCTATCTTTATCAAAAAAAAAAATTTCTTCAAGCAAATCAAATTTTAATGAGCGTTTGAATTTCATATTTTTACGATATTGGATATTCACTCTATTTCTCATAAAGAGATTTTATTATTTTGTTGTTATTCAAAAATCAATTACTTTAAATACATTAAAATTATACTGAATGTTTATATTTTAATTTTCTATACACCATACAATTTTGAAAATATTTTTACTCTTTTTGAGCTGTTTACGGACATAGTCGGTTTTCAATTTTTTTAGTTTTTTTTTCTATAAATATCAATAATATTTTATTATTTGTTTTTTAAAAAAGCTTGAAAATTTAAAAGAAGTATAGTGTTTCAAACGCAGATGAAAAATATTAAAAATACATAGACACAATTTTTTTTTTATATGCATTTAAAGTTTGAATTTTGACAAAATTTATCAAATTTAGAATTTAAATGATTTTAGGTGCTTTAAATTCATAATCCTGCGTATTGCTATATACTGCCATACTGCATAATTGAAAACCTTTTTTGAGTCATGTAGGTACTCACATTCCAATATTTTCATGTTCATCTTCAGTTTTCAAAAAAATCATGTGCCCGTTTACATAACATAGGTACCTATAAACAATTTTTTCCCAGTGTGATAGGGGTTTTTAAAAAGTTCACTAAAATTATTTTAATATCAGTTGTGTATTTTGTTCTTCTTAAATGTTTCAATAAGACACAAGTTGCATTTACTTCATTCAGCAATTTATGATTTCTGTTTTAGTATGAAATAATTCATTGTGGAAAATCTTTTACATAATATTATGTATTTTTTTTATGTTGACCATAAGCACAAATTGAAGGGACTTTAAGAGCTAAGCCCCCAAACATTTAAATCTAAATTTTGTTTTAAGCTTATTCAATATTATCAAAATATAGCTTTGGCCCCTCCCACCACCAAAAAAAAATCTCAAACGCTATTTGCGCCTATGATGTTGACACAATATTTTTGTTGAACTAATAATTTGTAATTTGCTTTCAGAAATAATTTCTGAATTACAATCCATAGGACGCATAGTATTGCCGCCCAACAAGAAAATTTTGCAGCAACCAGTTCAATGTAATAAATGTGACTTCTTTACCAATGAAATTAAACATTTAAAATTCCATTTGAAGATGTTTCACTATGTGCCATAAATTGTTTAATATTTACTACTTATCAAGTTTCTTATTGATCCATCATAATATATTATACATACGAGACATTTAAAATTTTGACCTATACAAATAAATACAAATTTTTGGATCCAACATTTTTATTATTTATGTATTTTTTTCACTTAAAAAATCAAAACAAGAAATACTACTTACATTAATACAATTAACATAAAAGAAAACAAACTGTATGAACAACACATTGTTTGACTCTAGAGTCAGAGGCTATTGTATTATTGCCTAAGCTCTAATAACATACAGGATATTATGTACTCGTAAAATATTCCTTTAAGTCTTTTTCGCAATTCTCATATGCTAAGCCCAATCCAAAACCAGAACCCATGATCATTGGCCACTTCTTACCTAGATAAAACAAACAAATAATTAATAATTAGCTTTAAGTAAATAGTTATTTTTAAAAACTAGTCATTAAAACTATTAATGACTGGTTAAAACAAAAATAACTATATTTTGTTCTTTCTAATGAGTTATTAATTGTCGTATTAAGTACATCTATAAAAAAAAAATGTATTAAAAAATTACATATTTGACTTACGTTTGAAGAACAACAGGGATGCTACAACACCTACACTCAAGCCGCCACCTAGAATGATTAAAAACCATCATTACTCAAAAATATTTATTTACTTGGGCAGAATTTTTTCTAAAGTCTCTACCATGATGTCACCAACCAGAAATAGATTGGGAGGTAAAATATTATGAACATTTTTGTTTTTGAATTTTTATTGGCTAGTACCTATAATCATTTAAATTATTTAATTAAAATAACTGTTGAGATATTTTTTGTATATTTAACATACCTAATGTTTAAAGATTTAATTTAAGTATTTGTAGCCATGTAGGTGATATAAACATTGTATTCAAAACTATTGAATACGCAATCAATGAATTATTTATGTTCATGGTATTATAGGTATATAATTATATACCACATTGACAATGATAATTTTTCTGTATTGTTTATTTATTTGTAATTGAAACTTGAAGTGCTGTATTATAAATTGTTTTCAATAAAATGTATCAATAAATCTATCAGTATGAGTGTAACAATGTGTTGGTTGTTATATTTTGTTAATAAAGGTATTACGTATGTTTATATAATATAATATTTGGTTAATATATGGTTAACGATACAAAAGCATACTACTTAGTTACATATTTTTTGTCATTTATAAGCAATGATAGTTGATTGTGCACAATTTCCAATATATCAGTTTTTCTACGATATAGGTATTGATAACAAAATGTATTGTACATCAATGTAATTTTAATGATGGTTTATAAAACCAATACATCAATGCTCAGAAGATTAATTTGTGCAATCCTAAGCCTGAGTAGAATAATATGATTTACCACAGAATTGGGAAGTGAAGAAAGATGCATTGCAATATGTCTACCTAGATTGATAAATAAATATAATACATTAGCTATAAAGATATAAAATGGTGAATGGAGAAAAACCAGTAATTCAATAAGTATAAGCCGATTTAAGTGGTGAAGTAAAATAAAATGCTTCTGGTAAGGTTGGAATTAGATTTTGAGTCATACGTCACAAGCAGTGGAGTGGTGACGGTGTTTACCTGATGCACTTGCACAGGCACTAGAAATGCATTTTAGATAATATGTTAACTAGGTATGTGATATTATATATGTTATTTTTTACTATAAGCTTGAATTTTTTTCATCACACCATTGCTTGCGAGTACCAAGTATTGAAGTATTGAGTCTTGATAATTTATTGTAAACTTAAACGGGTGGATCTAATAACATATCAATGTTAAGTATGTCCAACCGAATTGTTTCTAACTCAAATTGTATCTAAGGCCATCGTTTCAATTCTTAAATTTAGATTGCGGTGGGTGGTGGCATAAAAATTTTAGAGTTTAGCGCCACTGCTATGGTTGTTTCATTAATGTTAAATGTTGTATGAACACTGTTGCGACGATAGGGAATATGGTACCGTCTACGCTGTTCCGATAGTCAAAAGATTTTTCAGAGGTCGATCTATCGCATTAGTGCATTACTTACCGAATTTGATCACCGAATCGTACAGGCACCTATCCACTCGGACGCTGATCTCGTCTTCTTTGTACACCTTACTCATTTTCACGTTCGTACCGCCGAGGAAAATAATAATAGACCGGCACGGGTGGTCGGATCCAGAATTCGAATATTCGATTTAGAATGATATCGGGTGCTAGTGTGCTGCACTGCTACTCGCACCTACGACCTACACCTACAAATTAAAATAATAACAGCCGAAGATAATAATGATAAAATAGCGAAAAAAAAATATATTGAAAATTTGTGAACTTGATAGGTCGTCGTCGACCTGATATCAACATATTATCACAATCTGACAGATAACGTGGCGCCAAGGTGAATTCTCAATAATTATTATTCTGTGGCTGCACTGGACGGTTCATGGGTAGGTACCACGATTTAAGCACAGAACATAGGTATCTTAAATCGTGGTAGGTACTCAGATCATATATATTTATGTCTATGGACTATGGGTAGCATTATGATTAATTAAGATATTATCTTAAATCATGGGTACACTGGGTAGCATTCGCCATTCATAGAAAACTAGAAAAGATATTAAATGGTATAGTATGGTAGGTACAGTTTTTACAGCTAGAAAATATAATATTATACAAAATATAAAATAATATTATAGATCTATAATATTTATAATCTATAGTAGTATAGTATAGTATTTATAATTTATGTACCTAAATCTAAATGATATCATATGAAATAATATTAAAATAATTTATTATTATATTATATTTTTGGCAAAAAGTAGTTCAACCTACCTTATAAGATATTAGTTATTACTAATATAAAAATAAATTGCTAATTGCAATGTAAATTCATATTATAATTAAATATCCCTATGAATTTTTTTTTTTAAATGCTCTGGGGCTTTATATTATTTAAACAACCCGAAGGTCTTTATAAATATGTTTGACAATTATACATATTTTCCATTCTAGATATAAATTATATATATATATATATTACACGTTGATGGATTCACTTCCAATGAAGTGCCTCCTGCCTTAATCTAATTTATATAGTTCAATGAGACTACCGCACTTATTTTGTGAAACATCACAATCCTGTTATCTAAGACTACCAAAATGGTACTTCCTGTTATACGTGACCACCTTTATTTTTCTTGCCTTCTTTGATAGATTTTTTAATAATATGTACTTTGGGGATGGCCAGAATGAAATAAAGAAAACATTTAAATACATAGTAATTATTCGTAATGTATTTTACATGTTACACGTCAAAGTGCCGAATTTGGAGCGATGTATGGAAAACAATAAATTAATAATAATAATACAAAATGGTAAATCCAAAAATAAAATAATAAATAATTTAGGTACGTACCTACTGTGGGGATGGCCACATTCAAATTATATAAAAAAAAATGTAATACATAATAATTATTTGTAATGTACCAAATTTGTCGCGGCATACGGAAAATAATAAAATAATAATAATAATACAAAATGATAAATCCACAAATATAATAAATATAATCGCAGCTTATGGATATCGTTCGACTATAATGTCAGCTAAATAAGATAGGTAGTCGCCATAACGGAGGTAGTCTTTGGTGGAAGTCGCGATAATAGCCGTAGTCATTTGAAAAGTTTAATCTTAATTAATTTCATTTTACACTTTTAGATCAATATTTTAATTTGTTTATTTGATGTATTTTCTTTATATGAGCCATGAGGGGTGCAAATAAATACAACACATTTGTCCTAATATTATAAATAGGTACCTAGGCATAATTTTATTATTGTAATATTTTTTATTAGTATGTCTAAAACAAATAAATAAAGCATAAAACATTAAATATGTTTAACAAGAAATTATATCAATACCTATTATGTACATAATAAAATATAATTACAGGCCAGAGCCCATAATGAAATTGCAGGTTCGATTAAAGTAATTCATGTACTTGTCATGAAATTGTCAATATTTTTTTAGAAAGAATTAAAAAATTAATTTTACATGATTATAAAATTAAATGCACAATTTTTATTTTTATTTTATGTCATAATTATAACCACCCAGCTCCCTAAAATATATTTATAGTATTATGGCTATGTTAGTCTTGCTAGCTTGAATAAATTAACAAAATTTGCCCATAGTGAAAATAATTTGTATATACACCACTGACTGTAGGTATATATTGTTAACTAGTTTTTGTCTTATACTGCTAACTAAAGATTTACCACCACCGACTTATGTATGGCAAATAATTATTATATCAAATTACAACTTTTCCAGATAAAAAAGAACAATCTTCTTTGCTCAAATAATCTTTGGGATGATATAAATTATATAAATTATAACTTATAAGTAATATTTAGTTTCATGTTTACCTAATCATTTCTTCATCATATATTGTCCGGAGTCTTGTTGTCTCGTTTTTAGAACGGTCTTTCAGTATTTGCCTAAATGCTTTTTTTTTAAATGTGATTGTGGTCTTGTTCATCAGGGTCATGCGTATGTTTCTCCAACTCAACAATTGTCCCATTCGCAAACATTTTAGAAGAGCCTTTGCAATATTTGGTTTTGCAGATCAAATATCTGTTTAATATTAAAATATAAAATCATAACAATTGAATACAATATTATGATGATTTAGTTTTTATTTTATTTAAACTTACCGAACACTCTTATTTTTATGGATGCCTCCATTATTTTTATATACAAAACCTTTGTGATCCATATTTAATTAATTTAAAACACAATATATAGATATAAAAGTTAACAAACTGAATAAAATATAAACTAATTAAAACAGTTACAGCAACTAATAACTACCTACTTATTCAGATATAATAGGACTGAATAATATCCTTTATTGAGTAGTTCATTGGTGCTCAGATAGTCAGATGAGTGACTTTATGTGGGTTTGAAGATTACCAAATTCCAGAAACTTATAAAGTGCTCTTTGTGTTTTGTATGTTTTGGGAAACCAGGCTTTCAATAAAATGTTTCTTTCTTAATAACCATTAGCGTAATTCCATTAAATTTCAGCAGGTGCACAACTTTTATTGGTCCAATATTCATAAAGACAAATTAAAATGCTCATATTTAAAACTGTTTTGCTTGCATAGTTGCATACAATACTATATGGACTAGGTATCTTTTTATATTTGATAATAATATAACATATTATAATATAAAATATAAAATTAAAATATCAAAATCTGTAGGTATATTTTAAACCTGGGCTTGAAACCGATATTGGATACTGATTTTGAATAATAGTTGAAACCGTGAAAACCCGAAATCGATATCAAAACTGAAAACGAAATCAAAAATACCAGTTAGGAAATCGGAAAAAAATAAATAGGTACCGATATCCAAAACCAAAATCTAAATTTAGTCTATAATATTATGATATATTATGATACAGTGACACACCTTTCAGCTACCTATATAATGAATTAGTGATCACGAAATTATTATACAAGTTATAACATTAAGTATTTTATTATTTGTACAAGTTACCTATATGTAAATATGTTATAGCTTTTATAAGAAAATTCGAAAAATCAATAAGTACCTATATAATATAATATGTATGATGTATTTCATATTATGAAATAGTACCTATTGTAATTTAAAGGTGCGATTCCTAAGGAAGCGTCTAGTGACGCGCGACCGGCGCGGCTGACGCGGCGCGTTTTGAATTTTCGACGCGCGACTGAATAGGTATTCCTTACAAACTACAAATCGCAGCCGCAGCAGACGCGCGGCAGGACTTATTTACTTTATTATCATCATTATATCATATGTTATTTTAAAAATATGATATCATATCATATTAATCGTTTGCATCGTGTTTTACTTTACCTTTTTGTCGTGTATCGTGTTTGATTATTTATCCATGTTGCTCAGTAAAAAGAAAAAAGTTCTTCTACATCTGCTTTTAGAAGAAGTAGACGAAGAAGAAATGATAATCAAACATATACTATGTAATAAAGCAAAAAAAGTTCACGAGATGTTTCGAGCTAGAAAAATGGAAGGTTTTTTTAATATTTTAATTGAAAAGCATTTATATCGAGACGACAGAAAATTTAGAGAGTTTTTTAGGCTAAGTTGGGATCAATTCAACTATGTTCTAAACCTCATCGAAGATGACATAAAAATAAACCCTTGTAACAGAGTTGGAGAACCAATTACTGCGGCTGAAAAATTAGCAATAACATTAAGGTAAGCATTTATTATTTTAATTCTTTATGAGAATTTATTAAAATAAAAATGTATAAAAAATACAACAAAGAAATATGAAGTATTTTATCATATGTATCTAAGATGTGACTCCAATTATACCATTATTATGGAGCCAATAATGAATAGGTACTGTATATTTATATAGCACATTATATATATACATATTATACATATATATATATGTAATATTGTAATATATATATATATATATTACATATATTATATACATAATAAATAAAATCAAAATTCATATAATATCTAGTTATGATAGAAATTATATAAATTTAATCCAGTCCATCCATAAAAATGTATTACAAATTATCAAAATTAAGTAAATTAGTATTTAACTTAAAAACAAAACTAAAATTAAAATTATAAAATATTATATTTATTTAAACATTTGATTTATTGTGTTAGTTACTCAAAATTCTCCAAAATTGTATTAGCAATTCATATGTTAAGATTTAAAATATTCAATGACTAATACTGATATGCTGAAATGCTGAATGCATTTATATGAATTATTTATATAAATTTTTATTTTTATTATTTATAATTTATATGCATTATATTTATATTCTCCAGTGAATCTTGATAAATAAATATATATTAAATATTTTGATCATTAGTTTCTGGTAAATGTGTAACTATGTGCTTAGGAACCATAAAAACTACATAGTCAAATATAATAATTAGATAGAAAAAAAAACAAATAATTGAATACAAATATTATACTTTTTTGATAAAAAAAATTGAGATATTCAATTAATAAAACAACTGTAGTACCTGTATACAATAACAAAACCATTTTTTAATTAAAAAAAAATA